CTTGGCAAATGTCGCCGTAGTGTTATGTCAATCTCTCAACTGCTTGCAGATGTCGTACAGGATCGGAATAAATGCTGGCAGATGTTGAACAGGATCGGAACAACTGCTTGCAGTTGTCGAGCAGGATCGGAATACATGATGCTAGATGTGGAACAGGATCGGAATAACTGCTTGCAGGTGTCGAGCAGGGTCGGAATACATGATAGTAGATGTCGAACAAGATCGAAGTAAATGCTTGTAGACGTCGAACATGATCGGGGTAAGCTCTTGTGCTTGGGGACTGTTGTCCTTGAGCTCTCTTGCGCCCTTTAGGTTCCCAAAAAAGATCGGATTAAACGCTTGCACTTCGGGGTCTCAAGGTTACGAGATTCCTCGCAGCAGACAGTAGTCAATTCAGAGAGTCGAAGAAGATCGGTGTAACCGCCGGTACTTTTGGGCCGATGGTGCTTGAATTTCGCACGCGCAGAGGTCGAGCATGATCGAGGTAAACACTTATGCTTTGGGCTGACGCTTTTGAAGCCTCTCCCAACACATGGAAGTCTAACAGGATCGGGGTAAGCTCTGGTGCCTTGCGGCTGACAGGCTCGGAACCTCCTGCCGCGTCCACTTTGGTCTGACGATGTCGAAATCTCTCGCAGAACGTTGGTGCCGAACACGATCGGGGTAATCGCTAGTGCCCTGGGGCTGACGGCTTTGACAGCTCTCCTAACACATTGATGTCGAACAAGATCGGGGTAAGCACTCTGTCGCAACAAATCCCATGTGGAGCAGGGTCGAAATAAACGCCTGTGCTTTGAGGCCTTCGCTAAATCTCTTGCAGCACATAGATGTCGAACAGGAAAGGGGTAAACGCTTGTGCTTTGGTTCTGTGGGTCTCGAGATCCCTCGCAGCCGATAGACATCGAAGAGGATGGGGGTAAAGGCTTTTGGGAGGACGGTCTCGGAATCCCTCGCACAACACAGATGTCGAGCCCTGACTGGGGTAAACCCCTGCTAGATGCTAAGACTCTCGGCCCGCAGGTGCAGACGTCGCTTGGGCCGCGCCGCAGTACCCTGTTCCGCGGCTGCACTCGGAAGCTCTTGCTGTGCAGCGAGTGAGAGACCGGTGGAGCGGCTCAGCCCAGAAGCATGTTGTTGCCCTTTCTCAGGTGCGTGCCCTACAGCTGCACACAGGCCAGGGATGTGGGGGGGACCCAGTGATGAACAACAACAGGCACTCGTAGCCGCGAGTACAATGCTACCCAAAAGCCTGGAATTTCACAACACCTCGTTCGAGAAGGCTGTCATTTGCCTTAGCTGCGAGCGTTACCACGAGGCCGATGTGGAATCGGTGCTGGCGCCGATTTGGTTCCAGAGGTTCATGGGCGTCGATGCCGTGGCCATCGAGAGGCTGACGGCCCAGGACGCGCGCAATGACGCTAATTACCACTCAGACTAGGGCAAGCCACGAAGATGCGCATGGGAAGTAGCAGCACTATTCCTAGCCAGAGTAAAACAGAGGAAACGGTCAGCATGATAACGGTCACGACGAGCTAATATTCAAATCATATCAGTCATTCGAGTGGTGACGCCAATGGTGACTTCCATCACCGTTCATCCTCCTCTTCGTCATCTTCGTTTGGAGGTACTCATCATCGTCGTCATCGTTGTGTGTGAAAAGTAGGTATATTGATACGTGAATACCGTATGTGCACTGAGTGCGCAACCACGTAAATCAGTCTAGAATTGATGCGAAGTGGTGCGTCACCATCATCACAGCAGCAGCAAGAGAGTGTGAGCCATTTCCTTTGTTCTCAACGGATCCTGTGCTTAGAGTCGGATCAGCGCCCGGGACCTGAGCCAAAGGAGCTCTCGCACTGGGCCGACCTCCGGATCGACTTCGCCATTGTGGGGCTCGACGGCCCCTGGTGCTTCAAGCGGTCTCTTGATGGGTACTCGTACTGTCTCTGTCTGGCCTCAGGCTTGTAGGGCAAAAGCTTGGCTGTTCGTGCTCCGATCTCCACGGCTTGTTGGAGTGGTTGGTTGTAGTTGAGGGTTTCGACGGCCATAACTATAGTGACGGTGGTCACGGCGAGGACAGTTAAGATGACGATCTTGCCGGTGGTGGCAATGATGGTGCCCAGTTTTTCTTCTCTGTCTGACAGTCCTTGTAGTAGCATGTTTGCGAATCTGAGTTCTTTTCCCTCCTCTTCTTCCTCTTCTTGCTTCCTTCGTTGCTGTTCGTAGTTTCCGTTGCAACAGTGATCAGCATCATGATTGTTCCGCAGTCAGCAGCAAGCCGTTGAGACATGATGCATCCGAGGTTGCGGCACCACGTCCTTGCGGCACAATCTGGCAAAGCATCCGGCACCTTCGTCCTCCCTATGAGATCGAGATATTCCCATTCTATACAGGCAACAGGAGTGCCGCATGGGCCTACCTGAGGAGATCAACTTCACACACCTGTCCGTCCACAACCAGGCGCGAGAGCTGCAGTGCATTGTGCATCTTCGTCAAACGACGCGTGGTAGCGGGCAAGGGCTGATCCGCACCATTTCGACTCTCTGCTTGCAGGATGAAGATTTCTTTTTCATGGAGATGGGCCGGCAGACCTTGCCTCTCATGTCGCAGGCTGACGGACGGACAGTTGTTTCATGTGCTACACCGTCGTAGTGTCTCCCCAGGACTGCAGCTGAGCATCTGTATCCTCTACGAACAGCGTGGCAGGGATCATCAGTCGAAGGATTACGCATAGCATATGGGTGGTTGTCAAAATTATGGTCCCTTTTTGGGTCCCTAATATAACACGGCACCTAATATTTAGGGTGCCCAAAAAGGGACCCTCATTTTGACAACCACCCATATTGGTAGCTTTAAGCCCAAGTCCAGAGCAGAACTCCAGCAGGTGAAGCGGCTCAAGGCGCATCGGGACGCGATGGTTGGAGTGACTCTGTTGCAGAAGCGGTTTAGAGCTTCGAGGCCAGGCTTCTGGATCTTAGAATGTCCTGATCCATCATTTGGCTTGAATGCCCTTGGCAGTCTTTTCTTGAAGTCGTTCTGCTGCTAGGAAGGGGTGAGAAGTATGCGAGATTGAAGTCACTTCCTCTTGCCGCCTCTTATAGTTCAGCGCGTTGTTGGGTCCTCAGGTGAAGCGTCTCGGCGTCTACCAGCCCGTTATGTGGCGTGAGGTGGGCACAGTTTAACTTTGACTTTCCGGTAGGGTGTAGCTTACTGTCACATTGAACCACACCAAGGCTAACATCGTCACGTCTGCGGACAACAACAATAATTAACAACAACAGCAACGATGGTGGTAATAGCAATTATGAGAATAACAGGAACAGAGCGGGCACAGGAGACTCTTGCGCCAGGAAGTGCTGGAATTCGTGTTCAGCTTGATTCCGGACATGCGAATCGTCCGAGCCTCTGCTCCCAGCTCTGTGGACCAAAGAGGACATGAAGGCTTGGGGCATCCATGGTTTTGGGCCTAGTTTCTTCTCAGAGTCTATTTCTGCACCCTTTATCATTCGCTTTCTGTTCATGGGTCTTTGGGTGTCAGTCCCGCAGAAAGTGGGCTCATGCCCCTTTTTAACCTCAAAGGCTGCAGCCCAACGCGCCGCCAAATCCCAACTAATACTTCCTGAATCCTGACCTCAAATTCCAGTCATTGGGAACCGCTACAGCAAGGGATCTGTCCTGAACGTTTGCATAGCATGTCGTGTCACGCGCCCAACCAGCGGGCCCTCTTTGCGTGCACTCACATGACTATGGTGGCAAGTGTGGCTCTGGTCGCTGTGTTTCCTGCACACTGAAAATCTTGCTTGTTGAGAGCGCTGTGACGACTCAGCGTGTTACTGCCATGGTTATCCCAGCTAGAGTTTAGCAGCAGCGCGGACATTTCCAGACAATCAGAGTCGCAGTCGTAAGCAACTTGATCTTTAACCATGAACGTCCAGAGTACTGTTGACGAGAACGACTAGGGTACCAACAGGACCAACAGAGCAACAAGACTTCTGACATCATCTGTGCATGCACAATCAAGTTCCCCTTTTGCATCCATCCGTTTTGTGGCTTCTACTTGAGGTGCTGGCAGTGTGCGATCCGGTGGATCGCTTCGAGAGGCTCTCACTGGGTTAAGTGCTGCCAGGGAGAACGGCAAGTGTTGGCCAACGAACAAAGATGATGACTTCTATATAACCAACCTGCAATGGTAATGAGGTGCAACCAACCTGGCCATCATCAGTGTAGTGGAGACAGTCGCGATGATTTCAATGGCTGTACGCTTTCTAGCGCTCGCGACACTAGCCATAGCAGTTCTAGTATCTCTTACCGGAAAGAATATATTGGCCTGTAGACAACTGTAGATAACGTAGGAGTGGCCCTGCATGTGATACAACAAGATTGACGGCAGCAATAACGCCTGTGTGGAAAAGAGAAATTATTGAAGCGGCGACGACACCACAGCAGCAGCCGCCGCAGCGGCTTTGTAGTGGCAGCCGGGGGAGTAACATCAACAGAGAAGCAAGATCAGGAGCATCAAGAGCCCAAAAACCAGCAAGACTACAGCAAGAATACCCGTAGCCGGAGTCAGAATGGCAGTTGCCAAGGGTTGTCTTTGTGCAGCTGCTGTTTTTGGTCGTTGAAGAACCATCAACTCGAGATTCAGCTCCTGGAAGTATGGGCCAAGTTCCTAGAGCGCTGCATGCGGGCATCCTCATGATCGGGTACCCTGATCCGAAGGAAGCTTCACTTGGAGCACGACGCCAACCCTTCGAAACTCCAGGAGCGGTAGACTTAGAGGGTTTCGGGGAGCAGAGGGTGCAGCCCGAAGGGCGTGCACAGGCTGCACAGGTCAGAAAGACCACCACCCCCTTGCAGTGGTCAGGAGCTGATGGCTCGCAAGTTGGAGGACAAGACTGGGTTCTTCGCCTGAATCTGGAAAGTAAGCGTGCAGCGGCAACGGAGAAGAGCAACACAAGCATCAAGAACAGCCTGAACTAAAGCGGAAATGTTTTTCAAGATCCAAAGTGTCAGAAAACATCACCCCTCCAATAGCAAGACAACTGTCATGACACAAGGGTCACTACAGTCAGTACATGATGTTGTATGCACAAGAGGCAGTCCAAAGAACGGCCTTCTTAAGATGCTCTTCCTTGGGAAACTGCACGTTCCAGTGTCTGTTGATCCTGTCGGAGTTTGATGCTCGCTCCCGACAAGAACTTCAACTAGCCGGGTGGGTACTGGAAAGAAGGGCCTCTTGAAAGCTCCGGTTTCGATACGTTGGGAACAGTAGTGTCGGAACACTTGCTGTTCTGGTTTCCTCCTTCCTCCTCTTTTTTCGAATGTTGCGGATGATAGGCTCAATCTGTGGGCCGCTTGCTCCTTGAGAGACGCACGCATCCTGCAATGGTTTCCGGAGGCATAAGTCACATCAAGAGTCGTCAGAGTCGTCCGTTCGGAATCATCCTTATCTCTGTCGTCCGCAATCATCACCACCTCGATTGCTGCGGTCGCCACCAGCACCATCATCATCAGCATCATCGTCAGGGCCGCTCTTGCCTCTGTCCATTGTGAGCATCGACATCGCGAGAGGTATTTGCGCTTCGGCGCGGCGCTGGCTTCCATGAAGAGATCCTTCGGCGATCACCTGCTCCTCCTAGAAAAGGACAGGAGTTTCAGCCGCTTCAGGGGGCTGTCGGGCGCCGTCACATGTCTGAGTCGTGAGGTATTTATTCTGTCCATTTCGGGCTCGGGTGGGCGCAGAATGTTGTGAGTTGCATTGTTGAAGGTGGCGTCAGCCACCTGTAGCCAGAAGCTGGGTCATACCTGTTTCCCAGGCTCTTTGAGGCACAGCTCTGACCCTTCCTTGTGCCCTTGCAGTTGCATAGCTTCCGGTCTCGGCTGAAGGACTTGTCTTAGATGGAGCTGGCTTGATTCATCCAGTCGGACAGTTGTGTAGACTTTGCTTTCAATCCTACGCTGCACTTCTGGGCAGGACGACCTCAATGACCCTGAGACCTTTGAGCGCGCAGCCCGTTTCCTGGACTTGGGGTGCCCTGCCCTTGGTCGTAACATAATTAGAATAGGGTTTTGGGGCATATTAAACTATAATTATAATTATAATAAGGAACCCAAATAGTATTTTTAATTCAGTATCTCCGATTCCGGTTTGCTGCTACCGCACGCAGAAGCTGACGATGATGACAACGGGCATGTAGCAGAGGATAATGATGATGCTGGTAAGAGAATAAACGACAGTCTCCCATCTGTTTATGCCCTCTGTCAGTCCAACATCAGCCGAACGCCCTTCACTGCTTTTGCAAGCCCAAAGCCCAAAGCTCTCTGTCTCTCTCTCGCTCGTTTTCCAAGTTTTATTCTTTGTGCTATTTTTCTCACCTTGTTCTTGTTGTTCCTCTCTTTGCTTCTTGTCGTTTCACTTCATGACGTTTTCAATGATCGTTTTCTTGGTGCAGCTTGTTGAGCCTGTCGTCTATCGGTGGAGGTCTTTTCCCTCTCGTGCACGTCTCAAGCGCTACAACTCCCGTGGACGGTGCCTTGCAAGCATTTGTTAAAGGGCTGAAAAGGTTAAAATCAGGGCTGGCAGTTGAACCGCAGAAACTGTCAGACCGAGAATCGACATGTTGGATCAATTTCGATGAAGTCTATACTTTCCTAAGCAAGTCCTGGGTGTCTTCCATACTTGGATTGGTGGCGGAGTTGTCAAGAGTGACGATTGAGTGATCTGATTGTCGTCGTCGTCATCATCATCATCATCATCACGATCATCATCATATCATCACCTTCTTCTTCTTCTTCATCATCATCATCATCACCAGCACCATGATCCTCGCCGTCGCCATCGCCATCACACTCAGTCGTGGCCATCGACTGCTTCTTCGTTATCGTCAACCCTTTCAAAACGATGGCTGGGTTGTGTGAACGCCTTCAAATTCACAAAGTGGTCCGGGAGCCGAAAGTATGAACGCCGTGGGAGGCCGAGGCCACTTTCACAGGAGACTTTTAGCTGCGAGAGAACGGCATGCAGCGCCCCACAAGATGACCCCTTTCAGTCTTCCGGACCCGGACCCCGAAGCTAATATAGGGACCTTAATAATGGCCTATACTATTTTGGGGGGCTCCTTATGAAAAAAACCAATATACCCCAAAACCCTATTCTACTCATTAAGGCCTCCACGATTCGCCCAAAACAGCGCAAGTCTTAGCCACGTCGGATGTCTTCCTGGTTTACCTGTGCCTGGTCGAGGCACAGAACACCTGTGTGTTCGCAGCCATCGCTGATCGACGCCGTGCCCCTTCGGTTGCAAAGCCTCACATTTTTATTTCTATATGTAACGTGTTTCAATGGCAGGGCAACAAGCATAGTAAACATGAAACCAATGATACAGATATATCTGGCAACACGGAATTATTGGACAATGGTCGGAATTTGGGGGAAATCATGGAAGAAGACGCAAACTTGTAGTTCTTGCAGCGACGACGACAGCTGTCTACGAATGACACGACGGCTGCGCCACTGCCGTGACCGCCCCCCCACCCCAACACCCCGAACACCAGCACCAGCACCACGACTGTGAGTATTACTAATTGTGATGGACTGTTCCCAACCAGAATGACAAGTACAGGCCCTTCACACTCCATCAAGGCAGATTTTGAGGTCGCCCAGAGCCCAGGCGAGTCATCTGCAAGTTTTCTCCGCCTCGACCCTCCTTGTGCTAGGAAGCTGCATTCCAAGGAAGGACGTGATGTCACCGGAGTACGAAGTCTTGGAGGCTTTGCCGGGTCTGTCGGATCACTCCAACGCTGGTCCAAGCTGGATGTCTGCGCAGCTAGTTGTGTATGCACAACATTTTTTGGAAGCAGAGGCTGCTCCTGCAGCATGGATTCGCAGCTCTTCTTCTCACGCCAGCACAGAGCGGATCCCAATCCCCAAAAGCCTTTGAGCCCCTTAGCGCAACAGCAGCCTAAAGCCCTAAACACCAGGTAGCAAGCAGACTTCCCTAAACCCTAAACCCAATTGAAGCCCACGCCTTTGTGAGGCCCTGCTGCCACGACCCTCGGAGAGGCTGCGGCAGCGCCTCACGCGCTGCGAGTCACCGGACGGCTTCGAAGAGGCCGCTTCTACGTTGAAGGGCGGCTTTCTGTCGCAAGATGGCGTCAGTGTCGACCACCTGCACGTGAAACCTGGGTAGCCCTACACTTCTCGACCCCATCAACCGCCTTTCGCAACCTATCTTCATTGTTTTTTGAGATTGTTCAGGCCCAAGTAGTTTTTCTTTCTCTCTCTCTCTCTCTGCCGGCCTGTCCGCGATGATGATGACGATGATGATGGTGGTGATGGCGATGATGATGATGACGCTGGTGACGGCTAGTGGCATTCCAACCATGACCATTCCTGCATTGCGGAACCGGGTGCTGGGTAGAGTCAGCAGGAAGAGACTCCTCCTTGTTCTTCTGAAGAATGCCTCAGGAGAACCTGAAGCTGCTGCGCTGGCGCAACAGCTGGTACAAAAAGCACGGGCTGGCCTCAACTTGCGCAGGGCTCCGCAGAAGATGTCCGTTTTCAAGACGGTGCACATTCGTCAGAACTGCGTTGAGGGCAGCGATGGCGACCTTGTTGATGCTATTGGTGGTGGTACATAGCATGTTGGGACAGTGTTGGCTGGTAGCTAGCACTGAGCCTCGCGCTCACAGCCCAGGTGTGAGTTTCACGCTTGCTTGATGGCAATGCCTATATTACTGATGACCGCAGTAGTTGCGATGGTGGCGGTGGGATTTAATGTCAACCTTCCTAATGTTTGGGTCACCTATTCCGTGCCAGGCACGCCTTGGACTCCATCTTAATTTGTTGTACACAGACGGCAACAAGGGCATGCCTGTGTCTCTCTCCCGGCCGTGTGCAAGATCAAGGCTTTGAGATCTTCGGTCACAACTAGTTAACTAGTCTCCAGCACTGAGCGAACTTTCATCGCCCGCAGCAGGCATGCCGTCAGGGAGTTCTGCCAGGCGCCAAAGCACTATCTTTCTCGCCACCATGGCAAGTAGCTCACATGGCCGTAGAATTACTTGATTTTGAACATTGTCTATGGATCAAAACTCGCATACACATTTCTGGGACTGCTTGTTGCATTCATTGCCTTGCTTGTTCCATGGTGCTCGTTTTGCAGTCGGCAGTGGCCCTGAAGGAATATGTTGTAAGCGCAGGGTCAAAAGTGTTTCGTAGCATCCCAGGGGCAAGGCATTTCTCAAAACGAAAGATCCTAAACCCCAGGAATAACAGCTTCCAGTTGAGGGAAGTTTGGGACCGCTGGGCAGGAATGTGGCGCTTCCATGACCATCTCCTACAGCAGTCGGGGGCCTGAGACGACATGGCCCGCGTTTCAGTTGATGATTACATCGGACATGCTTAGTTTTGATCTTTCTTGATCTTTCTTGCCTACTTGCTAACTTGCTTACTTACCTGCTCGCTTGCTTGCTTGCTTTTCTGCTTGCTTGCTTGCTTGCTTGCTTGCTTTTCTGCTTGCCCATTGTTTCTCTACATACTCACTTGCATACTCAATGACGTGCCTACATGCACACACGCACGCACAGGCTCCGCTTGTTCAGCATCCCTCAAAAGCATGTGTGGATGCACGCATGTCGCAGCATGCAAAGGCATACACCTGCACCCCCACCCCCACGTCCAGACACAAACAGGCCTGTTTGAGCTGGTCTCTTGACCTCATAGTCCCAGTCGCCGGTTTGCCTGAATTTTCTCTCCCCCCCTCCCTGACGCCGTTGAGCCCGAGGAACCCCAAGCCCTCCCCCTCCTCGCAAACCGTATAACCCCCTAAACCCTAAACCCCATAACCCCCTTTTGAGGTCAGAGGGGCACCATTTGGCTGAGCGCGGCGGCCTTCGAGAAGAGCGCCTTCGCGGGGCCCGTGGACCACGGGCAGGCGCATGGGTGTGCTCATCATTCGAACGACTCTCTCTCGCTCCCCTTTTTTCCCCTCTGTTGCCGGTGTCATGGCTGTTTTCCTTCTTCGAGTTAGAGTTGCAAATGCCATGACATGCGTGGAATGCGTCCAAGGCCATGCACATCTGCTGCGACTTCGCGCCCCCGTGGCATCTGCCCGAGCGCTGGGTGCCGCACCTGGTCAGTTGCGTCTGCCAGCCCGAGAAGCCTGGAAATCCGATCCATCACACACCCGAAACCTTGAGCTCCCTCAACCTGGAAAACAGAGGTTCAGTGGCTCCCTATTTCAGGAGGCTGTCTGGCAAGTGGTGGTGGTGGTGGCGGCGGCAGCCGTGAGTAGTAGTGGTGTGGAAACAATCAAACAATCAATCAACAGGACTACGTTGTTACTGCTAGTTGATCAATTGCTCTGGTTTTTAGTATTATCATCGCATCGTCGTCGGTCGTCGTCGTCGTCGTCGTCGTGGTCGTCGTCGTCGTCGTCTTCGGCGGCGGCGGCGGCGTCGGAGTAGTAGTCGTCGTCGTCGTAGTCAGTAAAAGTAGCTGTAGCAGTAGCAGTGGCAGTGGCAGTGGCAGTAGTAGCAGCAGCAGCAGCAGCAGCAGCAGCAGCAGCAGCAGCAGCAGCCGCAGCGGCAGCGGTAGCGGTAGCGGTAGCGGTAGCGGTAGCGGTAGCGGTAGCAGTAGCAGTAGCAGTAGCAGTAGCAGCAGGAGTAGGTGGTACTCGGTGGTAGTAGGTGGTGGTAGTCGTCATAGTAGCAATGGCAGACAATGGTCCTCAAGGAAATGCAGCCTTTTATCGATTGGTTGATCTGATGGTTCTCACTGTTGATACCTGGAACTTGGAAACTCGTACGTAGCTGTAGTAATGACAGCTTATGATATGCGCCAGCCCAACGATGGCCTGCGCCGGGTGGGTGACGTCTGCGATGACGAGGAGGCTGCATAGTGCTTTTGGAAGCTTACGTGCCAGAGATAGTTTGCAACTGCCGCCTGCTGCGTGAAGGGATTTGAAGGAAGTGATTTGGCTTTGGCGTCATGTGTTTCCGCACGATTTGTCTCCTGCTGTTTGCAAAATTGCCATTCACTCCGAAACTCCAAAGGTTCCTAGCACGATACGTTCGCGCCCGTCAGTCCATCCCCAAACCCTCCGGACCCTCACACAAGCCTGGACTCTAACTACACAAGTAGACCAAGTAGACACCCAAAACCTTGCCTGCAGCAGCCTTGCTGCTCCAGGGGGACAATTCACCACGCTTCCTTGAGGCATCTTCCGTGCTCCTTTGTTAGTGCAGTGCGGAGACTTGGTATTTTGAGCTTTAAGTGTGCGGCAAGAGACAGCTGAACGACCAAAGCTGCTTAGCAGAAGGTGCCACAAAGTCGGGAGGTTGAAGTTAGAAGGTGGAGCTCTGTGTGTCGCGCCGCAACATCGGGTCAATGAATCCTCCACTGGGGAGACTGAATTTAACGTCGCAACTCCTGCGATAGAATTTGCCACACTTTGGATGCAGTCGGTTGCACACAAGCCGCCAAGCCCCAAAGCCTAGGCCCCAACACCTCCGATTTGGACATGTTTGCGGATCCTTCAACGAAAGGTCGCGGAAAACAGCGACGACGAGGAGAAGCAACTGCTGGAGGTACCGAAGCCCTGCTTAGAATGGCTTTCAATTTTTGGGCATGGGTTAAGGAGTTTCGGGTTCAGGGTTTAGGGTTTTGATTGCATCAGTCTGATCTCTGGCGGTGGCCCTTGAGTAATGCAGTGGATCCCAAAGGTTTCAGTTCTGAACCTGAAAAATACCTAAACCCTGCACAAGGCGCGGGCCTAAGCAAGCCTATTTCATTCCCTAAACCCCAGACTCGCGATTCGAATATGACAGTTTGAGGGCGGGATCCAGCCAGGCACTTCCACTTCTCCCCAGCTGCGGTCATAGTCCATTGCGTTTCATAGTGGACTAGCTACGATTGCTTGCAAGTTAGTGTTGGTTAGTATGCTTGCCCTAACCCTAAACCCCTAAACCCCTAAATCCCCTAAACCTCTAAATCCCCTAAACCCCTAAAGCCC